ATAACTCCTAACGCCCACCGGTACCTTCATTCCTTCGTAAATATTTGTACCCATCTGAAAATCTTCCCCTCTTTGCGTCTTTTCCTTTTTTGTTTCGAAGTCCTACCGGGCGGATCCGGCTGCGAAGGCTTTGTATTCTTCAAAGCCCGTACCGGTAGGAAGTTCATTTCCGAAGTCCCCTAGAGTAACCGGGGATGGAAGGAAAAATTTGTTTTCATCGAGTTTCCCCCCTTCTTCACTCCTCTGGCCGGTCTGAGATGGAACGACCATCTGCTCGACCAAGAGTACACTGCACCGGCTTCCTCCCCAGACTTGGAAGCGAATCTTGAGGTCCTCATGCGTGGGGATCCTTTCACCGGGAGGACTTTCCATTATGGCAGCTGGGTTTGGAGGGTCGAATCGGGTGGTGAGGGTACCTCCCCGGCCCATGACCCAGCGGGGCGCGGGGTACCCTCCCCGGGCAACACTGCGGAGGCTGAGGGCAACTCCCACCCAGGTACTTTTCATTTTTCTCGTGATTCGCAGTTGACCGGCCAAAGTATTTGTACTTAATGGTTTCAGTTTGTTTTGCAGATATGGAGTTTGAAGAGTTCGCCATCCCCGAGGACCAACCAGCTGGGGAGACCGGGGGCCCCCAAGCCAATCCTGCAAGGACTTTCCCGGTCAATCCAGAGACCGTGGAAATCCTGGATGAAGATGAGCCCCAAGACAACCGGTCTAAGGGGAAGGAGAAGGAAAAGGCCGGTCGCCGGGTGAAGAAGGTGGCCACCACACACCCTTCTTATGCCAAGAAGAGGGCGAGGTCAGATCCTGAACCGGCCGGCCAGACCATCGAGGAGGCCTTCGTCAATCTGGGGCTGAGGCTGAAAGAGGTAAGCTCTGCTGCTATCCCGGTCATGATCCTTTGTCGTTGTTATCCCATTCTCACCGGGCTTCTTCTTCCTTTTGTGCAGGCGGGGGAGATTGGACCCTCTACAGCTGACCGGCTTGGCTTAGGCTCTCCCTCCGAGTTTTCCCGGCTGAAGAAGGAGAAGGAGGAGATGGCCCTCCTCCTGAGGAGCCAGGCTGAAGAGCTGATCCGGCTGTCTGGGCTGGCCGGGGCAATGAAGACTGAGATCTCCCAACTGAAGGAGAAGAATGGCCGGCTTCTGGACGAAGTCTCTGAAGCCAAGAGGGAACTGGCGGAGAAGGAAGAAACCTTCCCCGGGCGCGCAGCTGGCTGGGTGGAAGAGAATAAGGCTGAAGCTGCCCGGGTGATGACGGCTAGCCCGGAAGCGACCATGGAATCCTTCAGGCTCTTGTACCGGGAGCTTGAAGGAAAGAAGATGATTACCGCTATTGGGTCCTTCGGATTCAAGAGTGGTCAGAAGAAGGACCGGGCTGCCTGCCACCGGATTTTGAAGAAAAGAGACCCAGAGTTCTCTGCAGCTTCTTACGGCCTGGCATCCATCCCGGAGGAAGAGCCTACTCCCCCCTTTCCCCTAGATTAAGAACTCCCCGGCCTTGACCGGTTGCTTTGTAAACTTAAAACTCGTTTCCCCGGGAATGCCCGGTGTAAATGTAAAACATTTAACATTCTTATTTCGTTTGAATGCCATGTTTTCTTTTCGTACCGGTTAATCTTCCACTTTTGATTGCTTGTTTGATTTACTTTTTTGATCTTGCTCCTTAGAATACCATCGTAGAACTTCTGACCGGTATATAAGTTAGGCCACTTCTCAATTGTTTTCGACCGGTGGAACTTCAAAGTTCTCTTTGATTACTTCATCTGAAGGATTAGCTCAAGTAACTTTGACCGTACAGACCCCCATTTCTTGAATCCGAGTAACTTTGACCCATTTGGATAGCTTCACAAATTCTTTTGCTAAAGTTTACTTTGACCGGGGAATTCCCGCTCCATGGTTTGACCGGTCAACTATCTTGCCTTCCTACGGACGTAGAACTTTCGAAGTTCTGTCGTGCCCATACCCGATAGAATACTGGAGATTTAACCATGTCGAATGGAAACACCTGTAACCTAGAAATTCTTGAAGTATCCTTAACCGGTAAGAATACTGGAGATTTAACCATGTCGAATGGTTTCGAACCCTCTCCAAGGTTCAAATGCACCCTTCTTCCAGGGCCCCCTCTTCCGGGTGATTAAGTCTTTTAATGGCCCTTTGATCTCTACCATCCCGGGAAGGCCTTAGCTCACCCCCCCGTTCAAGTCTTCCCTGAGAAGGGGGATATAGGATGCGCCACGGTGGACGATCCCCTTCTATTTCTTTAATGGGCATCTTTTTAGTCCCCAATCAATTTGACGGCGCCGGCTGATTCCCCGACACCAGTCAAACCTCATGGGCCCGTGTAAGTACGGTTCGAACCCTCTTCCAGGTCCAGCCCTCTTGCAGGCATAGCCTCTTCCGGGCCCCTCTTCCGGGTTTTGATATTTTTTCTATTATACTGAGCAAGACCGGTGTAGTAACAAGCGTGCCAGGTCTGGGCCTGTGTCTCAGTTGGCTTAGCCGAGTGGATTCGATCCACCCAGGAAGCCCTCCTAGGATAGGTTCGACCTATCCATCCTGCCGCTACCAAATAGAGTATTGAACATCATCGGTTTGATTGATAATAAAGTAGGCCTTGCCTAGTATTACAATCATTTGTAGAACTTGCGAAGATGATGGGAATTCCAGGTTCTTTCTACCGATACCCCTTCGAGAGTTTCTAACCGGTATGTCCCCGGGCGAATGATGGCTCTAACCCTATACGGGCCTTCCCAGTTTTTTGCTAGCTTCCCTCCGTCGCCGGGTCTACTTGCTTCTCTTCTTCGTAGGACTTCATCCCCTACTTGGAAGTATCGTGGCCCAACCTTGTTGTCATGGTACTTCTTCACAACTTGTTGGTATGTGCTCATTTTGACTTCCGCGGCCATTCTCCGCTCTTCGACCAAGTTGAGTTCGGCCAAGTGATCTTCCTCATTTTGTTGGGGTTGATAGTTTGATTCCCGGAACGTAGGGAATTCAGCTTCGATGGGCAGCCTTGCTTCACACCCATAGGTTAGGGAGAATGGAGT